CATACTGCCTATTCTATAGTCAGACACAATTTCTTATTCACAAATTATTTGCTTTTCTTCTAAACAAATAGTATTTACATTCTCGGTGTTAGAATTCAATGGATTAACCCATGAAAGGATGAGCCTTAATCACTCATACATTTTCACATCTTTTTAGACCCACACTAAAATTGAGAAGCCACTAGCCTCAAGTAGCTTATTTAAGTTTAAATTAAATGCAATCCAAAGGATTACAATGACAATAAAATACAATGAAAAATTCAGTCTTCAGTCACACTGGCCACATTTCAAGTACACTAACCAGCTACATGTGGCTAGTAGGCTACCACATTGGGCAGCACAGATTTGGGCCATTTCCATCATCACAGAAAATTCTATTAGACAACATTGGTCTAGAGAGCTCTTAAAGGAGTCATATGGTGACCACATCAAAAAAAAAAATAGGTTCTCATTTTGACAACCAATTACTGTCTTCCTCGATACTCACATGATGCTATACTAATACTCAGATGATAAGCAAAGTTAAAATATCACTTCTGAATATTTCTTATTAGTATAGAATATATGACTGGAAATACATAATAAAAACACTTCAATAACAGCAATAATGACATAAATAATCAATTCAACATGGGAAATTTCTTAAGGAAACTTACCCTCCTTCACTTTCTGCTTCCTCTGAACTATTACTCGTTGCTGAACCGTGAACTGCAGGAAGCCTTCTTTTTCTAGCTCTGTGCTGAGGACTTATCTTATGAACAGTTATCTTCCCTCCAAATTCATCTTGTATATATTCCTCCAGCTTTGGAATGGTTTCTTTAAGAAATTTGACTTCCTCTTTGAGTTCTTCCATATTGGTCAGTAATTCATTTAACTTCTCCAGTATCTGAAGTTGCCTTTCTTGAAAGATCACTGCTGTTCCTTGGTCATTATACGTTTTATCTTGCAAAGTTACAGAATCAAATGTATTACCCAGAGAAAGAAATTTAGGTAAATTCATTGCTATCCTCGGTTTACGGACTTTGTGGTACCACAAAAGCAGCAAGCTGATTCCAGCCGTTCCTACCATGATGCCAACTACCAGTTCTTTGTTTGTAGAATGAGGCATTTCTTGGGTTTTGTTTCTAAAATTAAAAACACAAATGTCAATGAATGCTGTTTTTGTCTTTCCTCAAGGTAAAAATCTAGGTGCTTTTTTCAATCAACAAAGCCAAGTCTATCTTATCCTTAAATAACTGGCAAGTCATAAGCCAAATCACAGTATGAGTGATTACCTCTGTAGCATAGATAGCCCAGTGGAAATATTTATTTTAAGGAGATTATGAAACCTAATGTAAAGTATCAACTTTAATTCAGAATTTGTATTCTGCAAGATCAATCTGTAATTTACTTTTGACAGTGTATTTTTAAAGCATTAAATAAAAAGAAGTAAAACGATCATTATAAATTTCTGACACTTATTCTTAATTTTCATCTGTTTAAAATTAATGTAGCTGATTTCTGGGTCTCAACTAACCTTTAAAAAAGGTCAAGAAGTTCTTCCTTAGCAAATAGTTCACATTAGCACTTAAACATTGGAGGGATTAACAACATTTTAAAAGCTCAGGGCTTTGGTATATAAAATATATTAGGTGTAACAAGGTGTACAAGGTGTACAAGTTGTAACTGTCCCATCTCTGTTTTATCCAACATTGAAAGCAGAAACAATAATATTAGTATAGGCTTCATCTCCTTTCTGTTTTTGGCCCAGAATTCTTCTGCTTATTATATTCAACTTATATCTGAGGGCTTAATATTCTAATGTTATTTTAAATTTTCATTTTTTAATAATAAAACATCATTTATTTGACTCCTTTTTCTTTCTGACCTTTTGCCTTTTTGCATACATGGCCCTAGCTATGATCTCATTGCTGTGAGCTATGACGTCACTGCACTCTACCAAAGGCAATAAACTGAGACTCTGTCTCAAACCCCTCCCAAAACCCCAAACGTCAAATATCCAATAAAAAATTACTAGACATGTAAAGCAGCAGAGATGATATAATTAGTAGACAAAAGTATCAAAAAATTATTATAAATATGTTCACTGTATTATATAAACATACAAATATGTTAAAGGAAACCATACATATGATGAAAAGAAAAAAAGAAAATATGAAGCAAAACCAAATAGAACTTCTAGAGATGAAAAATAAAATATCCAAAAAAATTTTTACTGAACAGAATTAACAGCAGAAACTCACTATGTAACAATAAACAACAACAAAATCAGTGACCCTGAAGATGCAGCCATAGTAACCACTCCCAAAGAAATACACAGACATCAAAACAAAACTAAACAAGCAGAGCCTATGGGAAATAGCAAGCAACCTAAAAATTACATAACATGAAAGGGAAAAAAAGATGACCCCCAAAATTCCAAAACTGGATGAAACTTATAAACCCCAGATATAAGATCAACCTAATCCGAGCAGAATAAGAAAACCAAACCAAGGCAAAATTGGTAAACCAGACTGATGAAAACTAGTGATGTTTTCAGTTATGTTAAAAGAATCCAGGACAAAAAGACAGATGAAGACTCGGAAACTATTTAAGTAAGAAAACAATGGAGTGACACATCTTAAAACGCTGAAAGAAATCATCAACTTAAATTTCTACAGCCAGTAAAATATCTTTCAGAAAGGAAGACAAAATAGACTTCTTATAGAAAAAAAAAAGCTGAGAGAATTTATGACTAAAAGAAATAAGAAATGCTAACAGAAGTTTTATAGGCACAAGGAAAATGATAAAAAATAGAAACTCAGATCTACACAAAGAATGACGAACACCAGTAGGGGCAAACATGTGGGTCATTTTTCTCACTATAAAATTTTTTTATGTTCTTTTTTTTTTTTTGCGGTTTTTGTTCCACGCTGGGTTCGAATCTGCCACCTCCGGTATATGGGGCTGACGCCCTACTGCTTGAGCCACAGGCACCTCCCTATAAAATTTTTTTTATAGGGGCTGCGCCTGTGGCTCAAAGGGGTAGGGTGCCGGCCCCATATGCTGGAGGTGGTGGGTTCAAACCCAGTCCTGACCAGAAACTGCCAAAAAATAAAATAAAATAAAATAAAATAAAATTTTTTTATAAATGCTTATTAAAGGAAAGATGATAATAACATATCATAGAATTTTTAACATATACGTGTAAGTAGAAAGTGGGAAAATCGCCCAAACACTTCCCCAACAAATAGAAATACACTATTTTGAGTGTCTTAGATTATAATGATGTGTTATAATATTAAGTTAAAGATGCATAGTTGGAAACCCTAAAATGATCAAAAGAAAGGAATAAAAAGGTATAGACAATAAGCTAACAGTGGAGATACAAATAGGATACCAAAAATACTTAGTCCAAAAGAAGGCAGGAAAAGGAAAAGAAAAAAAAAAGGACAAATGATCAAACAGAAAATAGGGAGGAGATAAATGATACCATAAGTACACAGGGAAACATGCCAAAAGATCAAGATATCACAGTATTTTGTTTGCCAACAGAAAAGATCCAATTATAAAGAAAACTGATAAAGTAGAAGAAAAATTAGAAAACTGCATGGCAATAAACTTAAGAAGGCAAAGTGGATGGGCTCTAGTGGGTGAGTATTAGGGTTGGCTAGTGATGGGAACATAAACCATGCATTCCTAGTAACAAGAAAAGGCAGATATGTGAGCAGAGATTCAGGTAGGTGGGGAGGTGTGATGGTGGGAGGTTATGAAAGTTCTCTGTGATTGCTTCACTGTTTTAAGTGAAACAGGAAGTAATCTAAACAGGTGGGAGTGAGAACCAGAGCACAAATATTGGTAAAGTGAAATTTTGAATGAGGTTGTATACCTGACATTGCTACAGCCACTTTCTAGTGGCTTATATCCTATGATTCCACACATTCTAGCAAAGCATTACTGTTTCTTACACTCTAAATGGCCAACAAATGTAAAGTTTCAAATGCCCTATGGAAGAGGACCTGAAAGAATAAGCAGCAAGAAGCCTGCTTAAAAGAAAAAAATATCTTTAGATTCATATTTTATTAGATAATACATTAACACATGGAACATAAGAGATTACACTATTTGGATGCCCTGCACTTCATTACAGGCCTAAATGTTAATAAGAATTTAAAATAATCTTCCAAAAATTACCTCAGGTGTCACTGAATGTTATATCCAAAAGATTTAAGAATCTCTTCTCCTAAACCAAGGATTCCAGAGAAAGTTCTGGTGCTTAATCTAGCCTGCCTGACCTCAGGGTATTTAGCTTGAGATTCCTTTTATTAAAAAAAGAGTATTTTCATCTACTTAATATATCTGGGAACTGTAAGTCTAATCATCTGTCCACTTCCATCCCATCCTGGAGACATTCCAGCAGCAGATTTTTTTTCTTTTTTGAGACAGAGTCTCACTTTGTCACCCTCAGTAGAGTGCTATGGCATCATGGCTCACAGCAACGTCAAACTCTTGGGCTCAAGTGACTCTCTTACTTCAGCCTCCTGGGGTAGCTGGGACTACAGGCGCCTACCACAATGCCCGGCTATTTTTAGAAATGGGGTCTTGCTCTTGTTCAGGCTGGTCTTGAACCCAGGAGCTCAGGCAATCCACCTGCTTCAGCCTCCCAGAGTGCTAGGATTACGGGTATGTGCTACTGTGTCTGGCCGTCAGCAGCAGATTCTGATCAATTTGTAACTTTAGCTGAAGTTGTAGGTAATTATGCTTAATTTAACGCTTTTTCAAAAAAATTATAACGCTTAACAAAAAAATATCCCCAAATTAAATTATCTTGAAAACTTTTTGCAAAAAGATGTAATTTTTAAGTCACCATTTGCCCAAGACTTACATTTGTACTACAGCTAATAATCACACATCAAGCTTGATCATCTTGGCTTCTGTCAATAAATAAAGAGATTAATGTGGGATGTCCATAAGCTGATTTACAGGTCTTTTAGCAGGAATATTCCTACTCTAATTGCTTTCTTTGGCCCATTCCTAAGTCTTCCTTGAACTCTACATTAAGAAACATAGTCTAGTTTGAATTTTTTTTTATTTAATAAGTAAATAAATGGAAGTGAAAATCTACCTAGGATGGAAACCTTATTCCTAAAACAGAATTGGGTTTAAACAGGAAAGAAAGAGTCATATTTTGTTTGACCTTTCTTTTTCTTTTTTTTTTTTTTTTTGCAGCTTTGCTTGAACCGGCCAGTCCTGTATATGGGGCTGGAGCCCTACTCTTTGAGCCATGGCACCGCCCTGTTTGACCTTTCTTTTGGAGTTGCATCAACTACAATTTATCTCTTTAAGGCAGGTCCTATTATCATTTTGCAGGTAAGCACAGTGTGGCACAAAGCTGTCAAATCATTTACCCAGAGGTCACCCAAGGAGGAAGTGAGAACTGTCACCCTTGAGATCCTGTGCCTAATTTTTGGATGCACCCCTGCATGTGGAAGATTCAGAAAGCATTAACAAGGACATGAAGGAGGAATGTTCACAACTACAAAAATTAACCGGGAAAAAAAAAACCCTGGAATCAATGGAGCTGGCATGTTTTAAAATAACTACAATTAGAAACCATTTTAAAGCTCAAGCTATGTTGGAGTTCTGTATCAATACGAAATGAATGTGTTTCTATGCCAATAATTTGAAGATGACCTTGATTTATAGCGATATGCAAAAGTAATAAATCAGAACACTTGCTTGCCTGCAGTACAATTTCAAAAGTCATGTGAAGTCATGTATATAGTTTTTATATTTTAAATTATCATGTCACTAGTATATATTTGTACTGTAATTAAAATTTTTACTGACCTTATTTTAGAACTCTAATATTTTAAGAATCAGATGCAAAGTATCATTCCTATGACAAGTTTCACATTGTGTGGTGCTAGTAATACCAAGGAAACGATAAACATTGTTTTAATATAAATTATGGCACCTAAAATTAATGTCTATTACATAATCAAAGATTATTTGCAGAAATAAAATCTCAAAAATTCTATTGAGAATAAAGCACAAAAAAGTTGACGCAAGAACACATAAACATGAAAATGAGAAGTTTTCTGAAGTACCTGAAGAAAATATTATGCCATTTTCATCCTCCAGCTTTAGTTTCTTAGATAATGAAATTACGCTTTACCACATTAATTACAATAATGCTTTTACCTTTTATCAAGCATATATATTAATTCACGAACAGATCTTAGAGGGAAAAAATAAATTCCAAAACTGATAAAGCTCGGGGAACGTATGAAAAACTTTGCAAGAGAAGTTAAAAGAACATTAGTTACAAAGAGGCCCAAGGTTGAAGTTTCCCAAGAGAATTGCTCTGAGACCTTGAATAAGTGATCAGGTTTCCTACAGCGACCTGGAAAACCCGATACTTTCTAAGTGAATTCTAATACTGATTTCTTCAAGTCTTCATGGGAGTTTTTGTATTTTATTTAATGTAATTTACTTTAAATTTAGGTCTTCCAGATGTTTAACTTATTTGCAAATGTTGGCAGCACTGGTAACCTGGCCTTCATTCTTACGTAAAATGGAGAATCGAGTTTGAGGAAAAACAAAGCAAAACAAAACAAAAGGTTTATTGAAAATAAGATCCTGGAAGATGAGGTGAGAACCCAGCAGCGTCCCTGCTCAAACTCTTCGGCGTTTGCAGAGACAGACTGGACCCAGGCGGGAAACTGCCCCACGCAACCCCGAAGGGCGGCCTGTGCGGAAACACAGGGGACCTCCGGGGCTGGAGCTTCCGAGGCGCCGGCTCAGCAAGGGCCGAGCTGGGGGAAGCCACTCCGGCCCAATTCTCCAGCTCGGGGACGCACTCGCGGGTGCACACGCACACACACACACACACGCACTCACACGCACACACATACACACAAGGCGGGAAGAGTCCGCGAGAGGATGCGGCGACCCGGAAGCAGTCGCGGCCGGCGGAAATGCTTCCGCCGCCCTCCGCACGCCCCCAGGCCGCGTCCGGCCCTAGGCGGCCGAGCTTCCCTCTCCCAGGGTCTGAGCTTACCGGTATTCGCTGCGCCTGCGTCTCTCTGTCAGAGACCGGGCACTGGGACCTGCGGGCAGCAAGCAGCGGGCGCACGGTAGCCCGGGAGTCTGCGGTTCCGAGGTCCGGCGCTGCGGCCGTAGCCGCCTGGTCCTGCTCCTGATAGTGGAGGCGCCGGGGGAGGAGCCCGCCGGCCGCTCGCCCTGTGGCTCCCGCCTCCTCCCTCCGGGGGTTCAGTTCACCCGGGACGGGCGCCCGGCGTGTGGTTTACAAAAGAAGAAAACTGCGCGCCGCCGGGCCTGTGTCTGGCCCCGGACCGTGTGGCTCGCATCCCGCCGCCCCCACCGCGCTCTCCCCTGCGCCTTCCCTCCCTGTCTCCGCCGCTTCCAGAACCCATCCCCACCCGGATGGCACCTGCTCCCAGGCCCACCCCCTCTCCTGGATGCCCTTTTCTAGGCGCAAGCTTGGACCTTGTTCCACTAGAGGAGCGAACGCAGATGTCTTGCGCTGATTACTAGTCATGTCCACAGACCAGCTTTCCTCGGTGTTCCCCTCCCCTGTTTTTTTGAAATAGAGTCTTACTATGTCGCCCTCGGTAGAGTGCCACGGCGTCACAGGTCACAGCAACCTCCAGCTCTTGGGCTTTGGCGATTCTCTTGCCTCAGCCTCCCAAATAGCTGGGACTACGGGCGCCCGGCTATTTTTTGGTTGCAGTTGTGATTGTTTAGCAGGCCCAGGCCGGGTTCGAACACGCCACTCTCCTTGTATGAGGCTGGCGCGTAACCACTGTGTACGTGAGCCTTTCAGTGCCCCCTCTAATGAACAAAATTCCCAGCCTTTTCGTCCCTCTACCAGTCTGAGTTACCTATGGATAAAAAGCACTTTCTTCTCAAATGCCTGACCTTTGAGGTTTTATGCAACTTTACTTTCTATGGTTTGCATAATGAAAATTTATAAAGTAGACTCTTAAAAACTGCTCACACACTCCTATCTTGCCCGCTCCTTGAGCATTACTGTTTTAAACTTCGATTGGTATAGAGCTTAGTCGTATGGATACAGGGTTCTCCATTTTCTAGCCAGGGCAAACACACTTTGTTTTTCCAAACCACGCTCTTTGGGAGCAAGCAGGATAGGAGAAAAGCCGATTGACCAATACTGCATCTGGGCAGCTCCTCCTGAAGTGGAATGCCGACACCTGCTGCTTGCCTGGGGCAGGAACTGTGAGGACCTCATTCATTTACTAATAAATTTCATTGGCTAATCAACATAGGCAGGATATTTCCGTCTGCTGGCTCCCGGTAAAGTGTGACTATACTTCCTAAGACACCACCCCCTTCACCTTCGGGGTCCCAGACAGTGTATGAACCCTAGACAGAAGACCAGGGGGGTCTTCCCACTTGGGAATTGCCCTCCTGTGAGGCTTTGTTACCTTTCTATGTTCTCCATAAAATAAATTTTGTCTTGTCACTCGCAGGGTCTGGGGTTTCATTCTTGAATCTCCAGACCAAGGACCTGCCACAGAGAGAAAATTACTGGTAGCAGTATTTTCTAAATTTCTCACCAGTGTGTGGAACTAAATTAAAAATGGGCACACTCTTGTTCATTTAAAAGCAATGCTACAGAAAATCAGAAGGCTTATTTTGCAGTCTCTACACTACTATTTACTGATGGGGATTTGGAGATATTGTAGGCTTTTCATAACTAAGCAAGCTACTTTGAAGAATAAGCCTAGGCATGGTCATTTTATTAAACCTGATATTTGGGAAGAGAGTAGACACTTAACTTTTCAGATTCAAAGCAAAAATTTAACCTCTGTATAACTGCTTTCCTTTTTTTTTTAATTATGGTTTGCAAAGATAATACAATACAATGCAAATGTCAGCTTTACTTAATCAGAATATAACTTAAACTTAAGCCTGGTGATAATAGGTCTCTTTTTAACAGAAGAAACTTTACTGTCTCTTCAGTAATGCATAAAAGACACTTCTTAATATTTAAAAGAATATTTAAGCTTTTCCAGGAGCCCACTAAGTTGTTCACTGCTGCATCACCAGGACGTAGCACAGAAGAGGCTTTTATTAAAAGTGTGAAGGTGGGCTGAGAATAAGGCTTCCCCAGCCCTCTGCTCTAAAAGGAAGATGGCAGCTGAAGTATGGTTTTCCAGTATAGGAACTAGAGGGAAATAGCTGCCCTCAGCCTGTATTCCTATGTAACCTCTATTCCTGCCTGCTCTCTCTGATCAATAAAAATTACCTGAGCAGTAGAAACTCCGTGATAGCCATTGATCTTGGCAAAGTTAAAACTAAATAGCTATTTTTGTCAGACACTGTTGTCAGGGTGCATTAAAAAATGACTCCTACCCCACTACAGTGTTTGATCAAAAAGAAACTGCTGGAGGAAAAACAAAAAACACCAAGAATCCCAAAGTTGAGATTCGTCACAACCAGCACAACATTATCATCATTGGAGAATAGTGATGTAGAGCCCCTTGGGATTTGTCCCCACCTGCTTTCCCACCTTTTCTCCACCAGGCACCATCCTATCCATACTTTAGTTATACCCCAGCTACTGGTTAGCTTGCCACAAGCTGTGTCCTTTTTATCCTGTTCCTTAGGTCTGGAATGCCCTGTTGCTTGCCACCTGTCTGAAACCATTTCGTGTGCATCTGTTTGCTGCGAGAAGCTACCGTTCACTTTCTTCTCCTCATAAGAAGTATTCATCCTTTCCCCATCTAAACTCGTGGAAGGAGAAGGAGTTTAAATGAATACAAAACCCCTCCCTGCTTTCACCACACCTGTCTCAACGTACACTGCATAATTCCTGCTAGTCAGTGACTGTGTCCATGAGCCTGTGAACATCTTCAAGGCAAGGATGGTAACATTTATCTTTGGATCCCCAACACCTGGTACAGGGCGCATCCTCTATATAAGATAAATGCCAGTAATATGTAACACTTGAGGGAAAAGCTCTGGGAAATGATCGTCTTTCATGTCCAGGCGGTTGCCAAGTTACAAACATCTGAGCTATGTACAACTCACACCCATAAACGGAAGCTATTACAGGTAATAGGTAAATGTACCTGTTCCAGCTTACATACAAAATCAGTGTTTAGCAACATTACAGGTGAAGAAACTAAGGCTTTGAGAGATGAAGAAACTTGTCCCAGGCCACACAGTTTTAGAGACAATAAGCAAACCCAGCTTCATCTCAGCGTCTTTTCTGTTAACTGCTTCCTCGGAGCCCAGCCTAGACATGCAGACACCGTCATTGCAGGCGCTTCCTAGCACCTTCTGTAAACACAGCTCGTATGATACTGTACAGTTTGCATCCCCCACTTCAGTTTGTTAGGGTTCAGCCTTCACTGCTTCTGTTAGAGGAGGGACTGAATCCTCAGTCTGATCCCTCACCAGGTGGAGGCCTTTCTGTGGAGGGTTAGCACAATATTATGGTGTGTTTAGGTAGGAATAGGATTTGGGGAAAAGAGGAAATAGTATCTATTGTAAATAGTTTTTTTTTTCCTTTTGTAGAACACAAGAAAATTACAAAACAATTTTTCTGAAAAGAAACTGATTAACTTGGATCTTCCAAGGAAAAAATGGCTTTCTTTGAAAAAGGAATGAGGATACGTTTATGAAATATTTTGATAAGACTAAGTGATTAGAGCCATAAATTACTAGTCACTTAAATACACTAAGATGGTTGGCTCCATAGTTCTATACTGAATGAATCAAAATGGTGTTTTAGAAAGATGCATATGAAAGAAAAACTAGCAACAATAGTTATTGTAATACTACTTAGCAGTTCAATGTTGAATCAATTTACTAAAAATACACTACTCATTAAGATATAGAATTCTTATTAGCAATTTCTATTTTGTTAGAAAAGTTAAGTTTTTGTTCAATGAAGACACATTTTCAGAAAGGCAGACACTAACCTTGTTCAACGGTTATCAGCAGTTGTTCTGTGACCTTTCAAAATACCAAGGAAGTTTCTTTAGAAGTTGCAGATGTTGTAAGTCACATTCCTACATGGATTTTCCATAGCCTGTATGAAACACAGTGTTGGATATAATCTAAAATGGAACTCACAGATTCAAAGCAAAGAAGGATTTTGCTCCTCCTTCATATTGAGAAATACCTTCAAGGACATCCTTGACAGTATATATGTCAATTTCACAAGCCAAGGTCAGTTCCATTGTTTAAGACAGATTAAAAATGAAGTTGAATATTCCTCAGACAAAATGTTGTTGTAATACATGGGTGTAAAAGTGAAGTGGATACTTTTAATTACATACAATATGTAGAACAAAACATTTCATTTTGGACTTGAGTGGGAAGGCAATTTTGTACAATATTCTGCTGGGAAAAATTAGGGTTGGCAACTTTCCAGACCCACTGTCCTCAGCGTATATAAAAAAGTGATTTTCCCTTTAGGAGCAATCTAGTTCAAAAAATTGTTTAGTAGATAGAGCCTCTAGGTATACTAATAAATAGAATCTACTATCATACATTATGAGAGACACATGAATTAACCAAACATTGTTAAAAAAACTTTGGCATTTTATAAAAATTTCATTCCCATCATTGTAATTGGCATGTTTTTATATGTACTCTAATTCACAGAAAAGTAAATTTAGAAAAAGATGAAAACTGAAATTCACTACTATAATTGTTTTAAAGGAAAGCTTGACTTATAAAGCAAGAAACCAATACTATGTGTCATAACCAGAAGAATTGTAGTTCAAATGTTTAGAATACGGAACATACCTTACCATGAAAATTATGCTATAAACGGTGGTTAGTTTTTCAGATAAACACAGAAACCTTTTACACTCTCTATATGATAACAAACAGCATGGTTTTCAGCAGACTTCCAACTCAGACCTGCTGATGTCAGGAAATCATTATCTGTTCCTATGACCTTGGCCAGTTTCACTTACAAAAGACAAAAAAAGTGGACTTGTCCCTGTCAGCCACTGAAGCTGATAACTGTTCAATGTCCAGTGAAAAGAAAAACCTCACCCATCAGTTATGGTGTCTATCAGCTAATACAAAAAGAATTCTCTACCGTCAGCCACAGACTCTGCCATGCTTCCACCAAGGGTACATGTGAATCTTTCTAAATGTAGAATATAAATGTCTTAACACAATAACTAAGAAAATGCCATGAAGGCTTTGTGAACCAGTTTGATGAAAATATTTCAAATTGTATATAAAACCAGCACACTGGACCCCATGACTGCATTAATGTATACAGCTATGATTTAATTAAAAAAAAAAAAGAAAGAAAAGAACTACCCATCAGCAGCACCTGTGGCTCAGTGGGTAGGGCCCCGGCCCCATATACTGAGGGTGGCAGGTTCAAACTTGGCCCCAGCCAAAGTGCAACAAAAAGATAGCCAGGAGTTATGGCAGGCGCCTAGAGTCCCAGCTACTCAGGAGGCTGAGGCAAGAGAATCACCTAAGCCCAGGAGTTGGAGGTTGCTGTGAGCTGTGTTGCCACAGTGCTCAACCAGGGCAATAAAGTGAGACTCTGTCTCTACAAAAAAAAAAAAGAACTACCCATTTAGCCACAGGGCTCTTTGGCTTTCTCACATAAGGAAAAACAACTCTTAAAAAACAACATCTTAAAAAAAAAATTCTGGGGCTTGACTTACTCCTGGAGGTTGAGGCAGGGGAACTGCTTGAGGCCAGGAGATCAAGACCAGCCTGAGCAAGAGCAAGACCCCTAAAACAGAAAAATTAGCTGGGCAGGAGGATTGCTTGAACCTAGGAGTTTGAGGTTGCTGTGTGCTAGTCTAATGCCACAGCTCTTTAGATCAGGCAACAGAGTGAAACTGTCTCCAAAAATAAAATAAAATAAAATTCTGACAGTAATAATTTCACATTTACTTCCTCTCCTAATAGGGGGAATCTTCCACTTCTCATACAGAAGGGTGCTGAGGGTCTGAATTGGAAGTCAACTGGAAACCTTTCATCTGGACATAGTAAGTAGCTTGTCACTCATAGTCTAGGAAGCATAACTTCAGGAGTGTCAGTAGTTAACAAATGAAAGACTGTGAATACCAATTTGAATAATTTGGGTACTTACAGAAATGCAGTAAGACTTCACATTAAAAGAGCATAAAAGATTTTCATAAAATATTTCATTGTGAGTATCCAACTTTAGACATCAAGGCACTTTTGTTATTTCCCTTTGCTAAAAGTTAACAATTATGAGCAGTGACCACCAATAGGCAGTGTTGTTTTCTCCCTCTTTTAAGATGTAACAACTATAAAGATCTTTCATCAAAACAACACATTGCTACTATGGCTTAGATTAAATAATCACAAGCATTAGATATCTAAATGAAAAATGAAAATTTCAGCTGATTCAAATACCTGAAAACACTTTAGTACCACCAATTATCCTTCCTAAGACTTCCTTCCAGTAACGCTGTCCACCCTCTGGGACTGCTCCTACCTTATCTGACATTCCTCACTACCCAGCGTTTGTAAGATTCCCTCACATGGGCTCCACTTCCTGATTTTCCTCCCACTTACCAAGCTATTGAAGAAACCACTAAAACTACTCTTATCAGGGAGGACAAAGGTCCTATGATTTCCCAGATCAGTGGCTTTTGATCTCTTTGGAACAGGGTTTTTCAACTTCAGTACTATTGACTTTTTGGACTAGAGAGAGATCTTTGTTGTAAGGAGAATTCTATTTTATAGAAGGTGCAGCAATATTCTTGAACTTTACCCACTAGTAGCCAGTAGATCTATGAGTTAATATGTCACTTCATAGAATGTAAACCCCCAATTAACAGTAAACAACACAAACATGGGTACATTCTTCTAGAGAATTAAAGAATGCTTTGGTAGACTTGTTAGCAGTGCCCCAACTCTGAAAGAATATGCTAGAGGTTCTTAATTTAGGAGTTTTAAATAATTTATCTTAACAGGAAGGCCCATGTCTTATTCATTTTTCTACCTTTAGTGCTTCAAATTCAGTATAAATATCTTGAATGAATGAATAAATTGGTGGATAAATAAAAATACCTAGTTAACTGAATTCCTCACTTTCAACCAGAAGTTTTAGCATGTTTTACATATGTGACCAGCCTATATGCCTGCTACTTTTTAAAATTGGCTAATTCCCGGTGAGAGAGCTCATAGAGGTGAAAGACCTATTGGTCATGTAACATAGACTTGTGTGGAAACTGATAAGGGAGAATTTAGTTTCCAAAAATAAATGAAAAATTTTGACTTCACTTTGGACACCTAAATTTTTCCCAAAGGCATCTCTGTCTACCAAACTATCTTTTCTCATTGAAATTTACTATCTATTGTTTGGAATTCTTTCTAAATATACGAACACTTTAAAATTCTTTAGTGTCACTGCTTCTGTTTTGCAAGGCCCTCTAAATCTTTTAGGTAGTATTCGTAACTAGGATGGAAAACTGAAAGATGGATATGTCTTAGTCCATTTGTGTTGCTATAAAGAAGTATGTGAATTTGGGTAATTTATAAATAATAAAAGGTTATTTGGCTGGAAGACTGGAATTTTGGTGGCTGGAAGACTGGGCATTTGGTGAAAGCCTCAGGCTTTCCACTCACAAGAAGGCAAAGGGGAGCCAGTGTGTGCAGAGACCATGTGATGAGAGAGGAAGCCAGAGAGAAGATTGGGAGGAACCAGGCTCTTTTTAACAACAAGTTTTTTGTGAGAACTAATAGAGACAACTCACTCACTACCTCAAGGTTAGCACCAATCCATTCTGGAGAGAGCACCTTCCATTAAACCCCACCTCCAACACTGGGGATCAAATTTTGACATGAGGTTTGGGGAACAAACGTCCAAATTGTAATAGGGTATTTACGTGCATATAATTGCTTGCAGATGGTGTAGCTTCTGTTACCACCAAACCTTCAGACTTCTAGTTCTGAAATGGGGCCTAGGAATTTGCGGTTCAAAAGATTATTGAATTGATATTGCCATGGGTCACACTTTGAGGAACATAGCATGTAGCAATGTAAGTGATGATCTACTGATGAATTTCTAAATTACAAATGAGATCAGGCAACATAACTGTAGAAGAACCATTGTTGAATCTGTTCACTTATTTATTCATTTTTGGTCTTTTGTGGAAAAAGGTGTTCAAAGACCATGCTGAAATTAACTAAATGAAATTCTTATTTTGGAACTTTATTAGTGTTTCTTATTACAATTTTTCCTGTGAGAGACAGAGATTGAGAAAGGGAAAAAGAGAGAGAAAGCAATGAGAAAAGAGACTCATTTCAGCATGAGAGGAAGCTGTTCCTGCTTCTCTCAAACATCTTCTAATAGGTGCCCTTTTGGCTCTTAGTCTGTTTGGCATCCCTAAGAGCTCACATGTCTAGCAAGACTTGGCAGCATGAAATGAGGCCATGATCCTAGAGCAACACCTATTCTTTAGTATCTGGCCAACAGGTTTATTGTTATTATCCACAGTAATCATCTGTGTCACAATTATTCAAATTATATTGCCAAATTTCTTTTCTACTGGAAGTTAATCCTCAGGATGTGTATGTGCAGTGGACACGATCAAAGGTTTGATGCATGAAGTATGAGAATGCTTTCTGCCTCCTTTATCAGACACAACACTTGCATTCACAGGAAACATGGAGCATTCAAAGTGCTTCCACGTGTTTCTGTTTGATTGTCACTTCAGCCTCTGAGGTAGGTGGGGTATATATCTTCATTCTAGATGAGGAAAGCCAATCTTAGTGATTAAGTCTGATTTGTCCAAAGCTCAGAGCTCTTTACTTAGGATTGATGACTTTCTAGTCTCTCCTCTCCAAGCGTACTTGCTAGTGTACACTTCTGGTACTCAAGACAGCAAGCTTAGACTCAGACAGTGAGTGTACAGGAAGGTAGAGAGGGCTAATTAATTTTTAATGTACAAAATAAGAGTTCATTTTAAGTTTCTCCCTACACATTATTTATTCACTTATTTAGGCAAGGAAAAACTAAAAACTATTAAAGAGTAAAAGTACTACCCTTGGCTGGGCATTCTGGTTCACACCTGTAATCCTAGCACTCTGGGAGGCCAAGGCGGGAGGATCACTTGAGTTCAGGAGTTTGAGACCAGCAAGAGCAAGACCTCATCTCTATAAAAATAGAAAAAGCCAGGCATTGTGGCAGGCATGTGTAGTCCTAGCTACTCAGAGGATTGAGGCAGGAGGACTGCTTGAGCCAAGGAGTTTGAGGTTGTAGTGAGCTATGATGATGCCATTGCACTTGGGCCTAGATAACAGAGCAAGCCCTTGTCCTATTGCATGGGACTGCTGATATTCTTCTGTACATGAAGAAGGATGGATTCATGCTTTTTAAACAATATAATGCAATACCAATTAGTCATCATGATTTTCAGAAGCTGCAATGCTAATGTTATACCCAAAGGAAAGACGAGAAAGATTATTTCCCTGTAGGCATTCTCAGGGGACTGTTATTGAATCAAATACGTCCTTGGAGGAATGGAGGGAACAGAGCAAACTCAATTAATTTATTTTTACAATGTCATAGCACTGAAGAGCAAGTTTGGAAGTTACTTGCATTTCTAATCAAGGAGAATAGCATTATTTATTATTTAAAACTAGTCTTATTTGCTTATCACAATTAAAAAAATATTTTTATTAGTAAAGGAATTCAACATTTAGATTTGAAAACATATACACGTTTATTAAGTCAAGAATGAAAGCACTCTGTCCTTTTCACTCCTTCTCATTTTCCAGAGGTAAACTATGTTAAGATTTTGAGTATATAAAAAATTTTTTTTGAGCATATAATATTTTTGTGTATTTTTATGAATGTATTATATATGTGTGTATGAGGTGCAGTGTTTAAAATATGTATAATATTCTACCTTTTTTCACTTAATGCAACATAGATGTCATTTCATGTCTTCCTTGTTCTTTTTGACAACTCCTGGTATTTCATTGTGAGGCTATGCTATAATATTTACTCATCTTTGACCTAATAGACAGCTGGCTTCTTTTTGTTATTTGCCATTAAAAACAATGAGTCATTGCAAGTATGTAATAAGAAAGAAAAATAAATTCAGTCCTGTCTAGGAACAGATCTGACGTAGTAGGCCTCCATGTTATAAACGGATTTGATGTGCACAGCTGACCCATCTTACAGAATGTCCGATTCAGACACGGATGCTGTGCACAGAAAGTGCAGCACAAAATGGGTGATTGCCAGTTCTTTACCAGTTATAGCTTTATCCCAGCTCTAATCTGCCTCACGTAGAGATAAGATTTATTGAGATACTCAGTTGTAGGATTGCTCCCTTTCCAACAGTACACAATTTAGATCAGTGATTTTCTTTTCTTTTCTTTTCTTTCTTTCTCTCTCTTTTTTTTTTTTTTTGAGACAGAGCCTCAAGCTGTCCCCCTGGGTAGAGTGCCATGGCATCACAGCTCACAGCAACCTCCAACTCCTGGGCTCAAGCGAGTCTCCTACCTCTGCCTCCCAAGTAGCTGTGACTACAGGTGCCCACCACAACGCCTGGCCATTTTTTGGTTGCAGCCGTCATTGTTGTTTGGCAGGCCCAGGCTGGATTCGAACTCGCCACCTTAGGTGTATGTGGCTGGTACATTAGCTGCTTGAGCCACAGGCACCAAGCCAGATCAGTGATTTTCAACTTATTTTAGGCGAGCTGCAAAAATCGTTAAAGATAATTAAATTATTTTCAAAAGTTCAAACCACAGTAAGTATTTTCTTTTTTTACTCTTTTTTGATCAACATAATTTAAATGTGCTGCTGAAGTTTAACTATAGTTCAAGGGTGCAGTGAGATAAAAAAGGTTGAAAAACACTGATCTGGAGCATTTTGTTTCATAGAACCCCCCTAACATTATCCAGCTAAACCCCAAATTCTATAATATGTTGATTCTAATACCCATTTTCCGGGATATCCCTTGGTCAACTACAGGTGTGTTCCTGGAGGTCTCTGTTGGAGGACACTGACAGTTAAGTTCTTCAAATATGTGGGTAACATTTTTAGAACTTGAACTCCTGGATCAAATAGATAACTATTTAAAATTGTGATAGATATTATCCAAGTGTGCTCCAAATAGCTCACAATTTTTAAATGCTCCCTAACTGTTTTTCTATTGGTATTACCCTTTTGTTACAGTTATGTCAAACTTTCTTCTTATAATGGTGACATTGGTTATAATAAACCAGGTACTTCTTAAAGCAATTTCCACGGTATGAATAACTCTTTTCACATCCTTATAACAAACCTATGATGTAAGTTCTAGGATTCCCATTTAAGAGATGAGGAAACTGAGGTGGGTAGAGGTTATGCAATTGCTCAAGGTCACATGGCCAGGAAGGGCTAGAGCTGGGTTTTGAATAGTCAAGCTCCAGAGCCCCTGCTTGTATCCTTTGTACCACGGTGCTTCATTACAGTAACAGGAAATGTGCAAGGTCTATGTGAAAAAGAAAAGCAAAAGTCTGATGGTGAGACAGGAAAGAAAGCT